TGTGTAATTCAGTGGTTTTTAGTATATTCATAGTTGTTCAATCATAGCCAGCAGTTCTAGAACATTCTTATCACCCCAAAAAGAAACCCTGTACCAATTAGCAGTCACTGTCCATTTCCCCTTCATCCTGTAGCAACCACTAATCTGTTTTCTGTCTCTGTGGATTTACTCATTCTGGACATTTTTCATACAAATGGAATCATACAGCGTGTGACTTTTTGTGTCTGGCTGCTTTCACTTAGCATATTTTTAAGGTTCATTCATGTTGTAGCATAAATTATTATTTAATTTCTTTTTATGACTGAATAATATTCCATTGTATGGCTGTACCACAACTTGTTCTAAAGTGATTGCTCCATTTTACATTCCCATAAGCAATGTTATACGAGGGTTACCATTTCTCTACATCTTCGTCCTCATCAACGTTTGTTCTTATCTGTGTATTATAGCCCTCCACATCCTCACCAACATTTGTTATTATCTGTATATGTTATTACAGGCATCCTAGTGGATGTGCAGGGACATCTCATAGTTTTGCTTTGCTTTGATGTTGAACATCTTTTCATGTGCTTAATGGTCATTTGTATATCTTTTTTGGAGAAATCTGTTCAGATCCTTTGACCATTTTGGTCGAGGCGGGGGGGTGTTATTTGTTTATGGTAGCTTTTAAAATTAACAAAAATAAATTTCAGACATACAAAAAGGAATAAAGAAACTGGGAATGGTGGTGTATGCCTGTTATCTCAGTTACTCCAAAAGATGAGGTGGGAGGATTGCTTGAGTCTAGGAGTTTGAGACCAGTCTGGGCAACATAGTGAGACCTCACCTCAATTAAAAAAAAAAAAGTTTAAAGAGTAAGGCATTGGCTGGGCATGGTGGCTCATGCCTGTAATCCTAGCACTTTAGGAGCCCGAGGTGGGTGGATCTTTGAGCTTAGGAATTTGAGACCAGCCTGGACAACATGGTGTAAAACCCCATCCCTATAAAAAATTAGCTGGGTGTGGTGGCTTGTGCCTGTAGTCCTAGTGACTTGACGGACTGCAGTCCTGGTGACTTGAGGGGCTGGAGAATTGCTTGAGCCCAGGAGGTCGAAGCTGCAGTGAGCCGAGATTGTACCACTGCACTCCAGTCTGGGTGACAAATTGAGAGCTTATCTCAAAAAAATAAAAAGATATAAAAATAAGATATCAAATACTCATGTACTATGTCAGCATGTACTATCCACGAGAAATGGCTTGTTGCCAATATGGTCGAAGCCTTCTGTGTATTTCTACCCAATTAGACTCATTTCCCTTCCCTGGGATGAGTACTGTACCTAGCTTGGCTTTATTTTTCTCATACATTTCTTAGACTTGTAATACATATGTGTGTATTCTCAAACAGTATATCAAGTTGCTTTATATATTTAAAAACTATAAATATGTACTGTATGAATTCTGCAGTTTGCTTTCTTTACTCATCTTTATATTTGTGAGATTCATCCATATAGATTCATGTAGTTCCATTTATTTTCAATGCTGTATTCCATTTTATGGACATATCACTTGGTGGTGATTTAAAACCATTAGTGGGTTTGGTTTTGCATTTGTGTAAAGGTATACAACTACTCAATGAGGTAAGATTTAATGCTGGATAGTGTTTAACCTAGAAACTCTTTTAAAGTATTATTTACTATTGATTTCAGTCTAACAGTAGACATTTATTTCCACTGAATATATTTTTATTCCAAACTTTCCGCACCTTCTTTAATATCAAAAGCAATCCAGAAAACAGGAACAAGTACTGAATTGGATGCCCATCTTGAATCATATTTTCTGTCTAAATCCATACATGAGAGTGGGATGGGCATTGTGTGCCCTTGGATAATCCTAAAATGCATTACCCTCTAATTAGTGCTTTACTGAATTTGAGGAGAGATGCAGAGACATCCACTGCAGGCAGAATCCATTAGTACTTACTCTCTTCTGTGATTTTAATGATAAATAAATTGAATACCAAATGATTTACAGATGATTATCAGCTAATTTCTGTCTTCCCATAAAGTCTTAGCACTTTGGGAGGCCGAGGCCGGCAGATCACTTGAGGCCAGGAGTTCAAGACCAGCCTGGCCAACATGGCGAAATTCCATCTCCATTAAAAATGCGAAAATTAGCTGGGCATGGTGGCACATATCTGTAATCCCAGCTACTCAGAAGGCTGAGTCACCAGATTTTGCTTGAACCTGGGAGGCAGAATTTGTGGTGAGCCGAGATTGTGCCACTGTACTCCAACCTGGGTGACTGAGTGAGACTCTGTCTCAAGAAAAAAAAAAACCAGGCCTAGTGGTGTGCGCCTGTAGTCCCAGTTACTCGGGAGACTGAGGCAGCAGGATCACTTGAGTACAGGAGTTCAAGGCTGCAGTGAGCCACTGCACTCCAGACTCAGGGAAAGAGTCAGATCCTGTTTCCAAAAAAAAAAAAAAAAAGGCAAATATCGATTAAGTTATAATTTATATACAATAACATGTACCAATTTTTAAGGGTACATTTTTGATGACTTCTGACAAACATATGGACCTTTGCTACTGTAGACACAATCTAGATAGATAATAACTTTGTTTCCAAAAGTTCCCTTTGTGCACCAGTCCCTCAGCTTCCTTCCCTTCCAAACTCTCACTCCAGGCAAGCACTGATACGCTTTCTGTCAGTACCACTTAGATTTTTCTAGAGTTTCATGAAAAATGGAAATATGCGGTATCTATACTTCTGTATCTGGCATCTTATTTTTGAGGCTCATTGATGTTGCATGTCTCAGTACTTCATTCCTTTTTTAATTTTTTATTATTTTGCTGCGTATTGCTCACTTTCATTATACCACAATTTATTTGCCTGTTGATAGACATTTGGTTTTTTTCCTTTCTTGGCTATTACTAATAAAGCTGCATGAAAATGTCTTTGTATGATGGACATTTGTTTTCATTTGTTTGGAGCGAATACCTAAGAGTGTCATTACTGGGTTTTATGATTGTGTTTAACTTTGGGAAGTTGCAAACATTTTCTAAAGTAGTTATGTCATTTTGCATTCCCGTTAGTGTAAGTATATGGAAGTTCTGGTTGCTCTACATACTCACCAACACTAGATTTTGTCAATCTCTTTAATTGTAGTCATTCCTAGTAGTAAGTGGATAATGATATCTCACTCATTATGTGGTTTCAATTTGCATTTTTCTGAAGACTAAAGATTTTTGAGTATCTCTTCGTGTAATTATTGGATAATCATCTACCCTAAAAAAGTGTAGAACAAGTGAGGTGTTTGTTCACATCTTTTGCTTATGTTGTATTGAATTGCTTGTCTTCTTGTTGAGTTATGAGGTTTTTTTTTTTTTTTTGTGATGGAGTCTCGCTCTGTGCCCAGTCTGGAGTGCAGTGGCTCGATCTTGGCTCACTGCAAGTTCCGCCTCCCGAGTTCATACCATTCTCCCGTCTCAGCCTCCTGGGTAGCTGGGACTACAGGCACCTGCCACCACGCTCGGCTAAATTTTTGTATTTTTTAGTAGAGATGGGGTTTCACCGTGTTAGCCAGGATGGTCTCTATCTCCTGACCCCGTGATCCGCCCGCATCGGCCTCCCAAAGTGCTGGGATTATAGGCGTGAACCACTGCGCCCAGCCGAGTTATGAGTTCTTAATGTATCCTGGATGTGAGTTGTTATATGTGTGTATTGTTAATTGTTTCTCATGTCCTTTTCATTTTCTTAATGTTTTCTTTAGTCCATGTGCATTTTTTGCAAGTAAGTTTTGATATTTAAATGTTTAAATCTCCCATCCTACTATTTATTCTTTATTTGTCCCATTTGTTCTTTCTCCTTTTTTCTTTCCTTTTGGAAGTATTTATCAGTGTTCTATTTTATCTCAACAGTTGGTTTATTAGCCATGCCTTTTTGTTTTGTTTCGTGGCCTTGGTTTTCTCCAGCTTCTTCCTTCCTTTTAGTTTTGGAAACTAAACCCAGAATGTATGAGAAATATTTTCAAATATACAGGGAAAAAAATGATAGACTAGTGTCCTAATTTCTGTACCAAGTCTAGATTGAACAAATGTGAAGATTTTGCTGTATTAGTTTTAGTTTAAGAGAACTAAATACAGTGTTTATTGATTGTAATAAAAGAAGCAATTGATGTTCTCTTTGAACTCTTCCCTAAGACCATTCTCCTTTCTCCTTTCCTCCCCAGAGATAATTGCACTCCTGAAGTTAGTGTTTATTTTCCTACTTATTGTTTCATATTTATGTCTGTAAACATAATAAAATATTATTTAGTGTGCTTTCTTGTTTTTCAAACCACTTTTTGTTGTAAAAAATTATATATAATACCTTATTTGTAGGTGAACCGTTCAGTGGCTCTTATGCACAGTGTTTTGTACCCATCACCACTGTATATATCCAAAACTTTTCAATCATCCGCAACATCAACTTTCTCCCATTAAACAATTAACTCCCCTTTTCCCCTATCCCCATCTTCTGGTAGGTAACCTCTTTAATGCTTTCTGTCCCTATGAATTTGCCCATGCTAGCTACATCATCTAAATGGAATTATATACAATATTTGTTTTTCTGTGTCTGGGTTACTTCACTAAACATAATGTTTTTGAGGTCCATCATGTTGTAGCATATACAGTATCAAAATTCCATTACTTTTAATGGCTGGATAGTATTCCTTTGTTTGAATATACCGTATTTTGTCTGGCCATTCATCTATTGATGGACACTTAGGTTGTTTCTACCTTTTGGCTATTGTGAATAATGCTTCAATGAATGTTAGTGTACAGATACCTGTTTGAGTCTCTGCTTTCGTTTCTTTTGATGTATACCTGAGGGTGAAATTGGTGGGTCATACAGTAATTCTTTTTGAGGAACTGCCAAACTGTTTTCCACTGTGGCTGTACCTCCTCCTCCTAGGTTCAAGTGATTCTCCTGCCTCAGCCTCCTGAGTAGCCACCACACGCAGCTAATTTTCTGTATTTTTAGTAGAGATGGCGTTTCACCATGTTGGTCAGGCTGGTCTTGAACTCCTAACCTCGTGGTCTGCCTACCTTGGCCTCCCAAAATGCTGGGATTACAGGCGTGAGCTACCACGCCCAAGCCTTGTTTAGTGTTTTCTTAAACTTCTTATATGTGGCATCATTTTGTTCATTTACTGGCCCAGATTTTTACTGAGCATTTTTAAAAGTGTTATCAATATTGATTTAGGTAGCCATAATTCATTTGTTTTAAATACTATATAGTATTTTTATTACATACATATTACAGTTTATTCATATATTTCCCTACTGTTTGACACTTAGGTTACATCCGGTCATCCTAGTTTAAAATTAGTCCTGTAATGAATATTATAAATGTTTTTTGCATTGGTACAGATGGCCCTCGACTTCTGATGGTTTGGCTTTTGATTTTATGATGGTACAAAAGTGATACTCATTCAGTAGAAACAGTCATTTGAATTTTGATCTTTCCCTGTGCTAATGATATGTGGTATGATACTGTCTTATGAAGCTGGGCAGTGGCTGCCAATCACAACTCCCAGTCAGCCAGGTTATCACAAGGGCAACCAACCAATACTCTACAGAGTACTGTATTCAATAAAGTATATGAAATGTTCAACAATTTATCATAAAATAGGCTTTGTGTTAGATGATTTTGCCAGGCTGTAGGCTATAGGCTGTAGGCTGTAGGCTGTAGGCTGTAGGCTGTATTCTGAACTGTAAGTGTTCAGAACACATTTAACATAAGTGAGGCTAAGCTATGATGTTTGGTAGGTTAGGTGTAGTGAATGCATTTTTGACTTAGTGGTATTTTCAATTTATGATGGGTTTATCAGAATGTAACCCCAGTGTAAGTCAGGGAGCATCGGTATAAGGAATTAGGGTTTTTACCTAGAAGTAGAATTGGATCGTAAAGTTCTCTTCTACTTTACCGTTGCAAAATTATTGTCCCACCAGCAGAGTGTATGTTTCCATTTCCCTTATTCTTCTTGGTGCTTGTCATCCCACAGGTGTAAAAATCATATCTTACCTTTCCTTGGCAGCTAGTGAGGTTTATCATCTTTATCTTTGTTTATTGACCACTCAGATTTCATTAGGTGTGAAATTCCTGTTCATAGTCTCTGTCAGTTTTTCTTTGGGATAACTGTCTTTTGAATTCAATTTCAGAAATTCTTTATACTTTCTGAGTACTACTCCTTTGTTTTACTCTAAATATCTCCTAATCTGTGTCTTTCTGATATCATTTTCATGTAGAATGGTGCAGTTCAATACAGTAGTCACTAATTTAAATACAAGTTTAAGTTCAGTTCCTCAGTAGCCACATGTGGCTAGTGGCTACTGTATTGGACAGTACTGATAGTAGGACATGTCTGTCATCACAGAAAGTTCTGTTGCACAGTCCTGATACATTAGGTTTTAAATCTTAATAGATCATAATTTTTCATCATGGACTGTGATTTTTGTGTCTTTTGTAAGGAATCCATCTGGACCCTAATGTCCTAGAGGTATTTTCCTATGTTTTATTTTAAATATTTTGTTTTTCACATTAGGTCTTAGAATTTGTTTAGAATTTATGTTGATGTGAGGTCAGGATCTGACTTTATTGCTTTTTTACATGGATTTTTATTTCAGCACAATTATTTTAATAGTTTATCCATTCTTTGCTAAAATATAATGCTTTTTCTGTCATTTGGCAAGTTGTAGTGTATGTGTGGTTCTTTCCTAGTGGAGTTTCTTTGTTACTTATTTGTAGGTTTTTTGTTTGTTTGTTTTTTGGTATTTTTCTTCTCCTTCTCCCTCCTATCCCAGTCCGTTTATATATCCTTATGTCAGTACTAGGTTGTTTCAGTTACTATGGTTTTAAATACTCGGTTTCAAATACTTGGTACTTGTTTCAAATACTTGGTATCTACTTGGACAAGTCTCTGTCCTTATTTTTCTTCTTCAGAATTCAATTTATTTATAAATGAAACTACTGTATACTTGAGTTGTGTTGGTGGTGTTTTGGTATCAAGGTTATGCTAGCTCCATGAAGTGAGTTGGGAAGCTTACTTTTCATCTTCTGTTTTTCAAAACAATGGATATTTGGGATTTCTAGAAAATTCTGAATGTGTTTTTCAGCTTGCAAGCAATACTTTGAAAAGTACCCAGGAGACCATGAACTCCTTTGGGAAGTTGAAGGTGTTGGACACTGGTACCAGCGAATACCAGTCACCAGAGCATTACAAAGAGAAGCACTTAAAATTCCAGGTAAGAGTGTTTTCAGTTTGAGTTCAGTTTATGTATTTATTTTTGGTAACCTGTCCTTGCTGGCTTGTAAGTCCAGTTTAAAAAGCAGTGGCTAGTAATGGTTGTGTCTTAGAGTCCAGAGTAGTGGTGTATTATAATGTGATTGTTCTAGTAACAGACTCTTGTCTAAAGTTTGAATATTTGTGATGTATTAACTTTTGAGTCCCTAGTAACAAGAAGACCTAGAACAGCCCAGTAGGAATTGGTGGGTAAGAAATAAACATAGATTACTGAAATGGCATAGAATAGTCACCAGGGGGTCCAGAGTACCCCCTAATCTCATGCACTTCTCCCCAAAGCTACTAAGTACTTAAAACAACTATTTAACATTGTATATAACGGCAATGTTGCATTATAAGGTATTGGTGAAGAGAACATCTCACACCTAGATTTTTGTGACTCTTTCTGTCCAGGCTGCTCCTCAGAGCTGTTAGGAAAATTACTACAATGTTACACTTAAAACCAAATACTGATTGGGTTACAGTTTTTAAAATTCCTCTATACACAGCAGTTTCTCAAAATGAACCTAAAAGACCTATGTCTGGAGAATATGGTCCTGCATATGTTCCAGAATATGAAGCAAGAACTGAAGACAATCAGTCTAGTGAGATGCAGCTAACTGTAGGTACACTGTCTGTATGTTTATTGTTGTAAATAATTTTTGTATTTTTAAAAAATAGATTCAGTTTATATTTGAGTTTTAAATGTCATAGTTCATTCAACAAAGCTATGTAATTTCTACTGTGTTAGTTTTCCTGGCATCTTCTGTTAATATTACTAAAGACTTTAATTTTCTTTGAAAAATAATTTTAATGATGTTAAAAGTATTATGAGCTAATTAAAGGTAATTTAGGACAAACATAAAGTAATATAGAAGAAAATAAAAATCTATAATCCCACTATTCAGATATAGCCACCGTTAAAATTTTTGCATATATATTTAATATTGCATATTAGAAAGCATATATCTGTATATATTGTATTTTTGTTTTTATTCTCTTGGATTGCTTAACTGCTATTCTCCATTAATGTAATATTGGAAGCATTTTCTGTGGCATTAAATCATTAAAACATGATTGTTAAATAGTAGCACACTATTTATTCTATTATCTGTTTTATGTAACTATCATTATTTGTTTCCTTAACATAGGATCCTTAAATTTTTAACATTTTTAAATGACCCAGGAGCAAACACATTTATATATGAATCTTTGTGCATATGTAATTACTTCTCTTAACATACAAATTTCCAGAAGTGGAATTAGTAGGTGAAAGACTATGAAGTTGTTATGTAAAGTTCGAGGCTGTATATGCTAGGTCTTTGTAGAATGTAATGCACTTTGCAAATATTAGGTATCCTGAAAGTAGAAGGACAGGTCCCATTACCAAACTCCACAGGACTTACCAGGTCCTTTTCTAGAAGTGATGTTTTGTGGTACTTGATACTGCTTAAAATACAGGCCCGTTGATGGGACTCTAGCAGTCTAGGGTTTTGGGGGATGGCATTTATTGCAGTCATATTTTTGTACCTGTGTATCTAAGTTTATTTTTGGTGAGTGTTGAATATGTCTATGTAAATGCATAGGCATATTTTAGAAACAACTACTTTAGGGAATTATTTGTGCTTATTTTCTGTCTTAATTAGCATGAGAGTTGACTATTTGAGTGGAAAATTTGTTAATATTTTAAAGAATAACTATATATATAAGGAGTTAGATTTTTGGGAATTTTTTTCCCACTTTTGGAAATTCAAACTTGAAAATATGCTCCTGTCCTATTGCAGTCCAAATTCCTCAGATATACACAGATTCATTTAGTACTGGCCAGTTATAAAATCAAGGAAAGTAGAAAATCTACTCTTCCTATAAATGTAATGAGAGCAATGATTTACTTTAATATTAAGCCAAATAATTTTAGATGTGTCATTTGAGTGAGAATATATTACAGTGGTACTATATCATACAGTTGACAGCATAAATTAGATTTTAGAATCTAACCTATTTAAGATTTTAGAAATTCATATTCTTCATATTACTTTAATGTTTTAAATAGTTGAAGGAAAATGTTTGTTGTTTTAAACTATTTATGTTATATCTCTTTTTGTTAGTACCACAAATAGTTTAGTTTATTTCAACTACATGATTTATTCTTTAGGCGATGATGGTATTGTTATGTGCTTTTTCCTATTTTTATACATAAAACATTACATATATTTCTCTTGTACTTTTTGCACCTTTTATGTATTCATCTTAATCTACATTTTAACCTTTTCTTGTTGAACTAAAAGTTTCTTGAAGCAAGATTTTTGTCATATGATTTATCACAATTGCTCCCTTGCTTTTGTTCTATAAATTGAAGGCTGTGTGCCCACTATATTGTGGAGTTTTAGTAAGCATGTAATGGATGAACGAAGTAGTTACTATGGCAAGCATTGGACATATAAAGATACAGTTCTTAGACATGGGAGAACTAGATGGTCCATTGTTGGAAATATATAATATACTATAGCATAATAATTGCCTTATTATAGCAAGTAATTGGAGGTACATAGGAGAGGATGACTTTTAAAGGGTGGGTGGGAATTTTGTTAGGACATTCCAGAGGATAGCATGTGAAAAAGTTACAGAGGTGTAAAGGAAATGGCATGTTTGATATGAAAGAGGTATTTGGTATTGAATAGGTAGAGAATTTGTATTCTAAGCAGTGGTTGGCCATTAAAAGTTTTTTCTTGTTTTTTTTTCAGCAAAAAAATGGTACAGTTTGTGATTTGAAAGTATCACTTTGTCATCAGGGTGGAGGGGTGTAGACTGGATGTGATTAGAGCAAGGGATATGAGTGAGGAGGCTGTTGGAATAGTTGAAGTTCAAGAGAGTAAAGGCATAAACTAAAGCAATGGTAATACAAAGGACAGGGCAGTTTTGAGAGATTCTTCAGTTAAAATTGAAAGGCTTTGTGATTGATTAAATGTGGGTTAGGAAGAGGTCATTACTGACTCACTGTTTTCTGGCTAGAATGACTGACTGAATTGTCATTAAGTAAGATAGAGAATAATGTTGGGGAAAGATAAAGTTCATTTTGGGAATAATTGAGTGTGAAATTGGATGGGACATGCACTGGGAGATATTTCATTGGAAATAGAGCTTTGGAAATCAGGAAGAAAGTTTGGAGGCTTAAGTCGTATATTTGAATTCATCAATAAGCAGATACTGAAGTAAGCATAGCGAAGGGAGAGCATGTGGACTGAGCAGAGAAGGTGGCTGAGGACAGAACTAGGAGACACTAGTGGACACACTGTGACATATTAGATGACTTGCATATGTTCTCAGTCTTTTAAACTGAAGCTGAACTATAATCTTTTTATTTTTAAAGTAAATGTTCTTAACAAAAAGTGTTATTTGAAAAACATTTTACAAGTTTTTCTTTGAAACTGTAAATAGATCCATAGGGAGAAAAAATAGTCTAAAACTTTGGTTTTGACTCTATCTCTTTTTTAGATTGATTCTCTAAAAGATGCCTTTGCAAGCACTTCTGAAGGTAAGAAATTCAACTGATATATCAGTAAGTATTTGAGACACTTCACATTAGGGCAGTGTGTGTGTATATGTGTGCATGTGTGTGTGGTATGTCACCCTGAGTAAGTGAATACTTAACCAGCTCTAAAATCTAGATCTAGGTTCTCATGCCACCACTGCCACTGATTTTGCTATGTGAACACTGAGTAAGCTATTGTACCTCTCTCTTCGTTATTTCCTTAGCTATAAAATAGGGATGGTAATGTCTACGTTATTTGTTTTTCAAGATTATTGGGAGAGAATGCAAGTGAAATACAAAAACACTTTGCAAAGCCCAAGGTAACAGGGAAATGTGAGAAATTAATTCCACAGTTCATATAACTTGACAAAGTTATTATATAATTTTAATTATATAATAATCTAAATAATTTTCTTAGCCTGGTGTGAGAGGAGGGTGAACCTGTGTAATGTGGAGAATATGTGTAAACCAGTGTAGTTCTTGCATTTCTGTGTATTTTAATAGGTAGTCCTTTTAATATATAATCAACTAAGTGCAGTTTTGCTGTGTTTCTCCTCAGGTCATGAAAAAACATCAGTTTCCACTCGTACTCGAAGTAGTAATCTAAAGCGGCCAAAGATTGGAAAGCGGTTTCAGGATTCTGAATTTAGCAGTTCTCAAGGCGAAGATGAAAAGACCTCCCAGACTTCACCTACAGCTTCATTAAACAAGTAAATAATTGTTTATTTTACTCTCATTTTTTGTTTATTTGTACTGTCATATTAGTATTTAGCATTTAAGGTAGAGGCTATTTATTACATTGTTTGTGTAGCAGATGGCTTTGGTTTAGGAGGTAATATTTGAATTATCCATATTTAAATTCTTGTACAAGATTATTAGTTGTTTATCAGTGCTAAGTGTTACCTTGACAATGCTATTGGGAGAAGTTGCTAATAAGAGACTGGCATAAACTCACTTCATGTGTGAAAATCTAGGAGAATATCTAGCGATTATATTATCCCAAATTAGTCATTATCACCAATGCTCAATTTGATGGTATGGTTTTAAGTAATGCTGAGATTTAGTCAGTTTTTTTCCCCCCACATTCAGTTCTTTTATTTAATTTTCTAGTGGACAGTTTACATATCTCCCTCACGCTGTCTTTTAAGTTAGTGTGACAATTTTCCATAATAAACTGCTTAAAGAGAAGCTTTGGTCAAGAATGGAATGAAATTGCAAAAAAACAAAAACAAAAAACCATTGCTTTTAAAATACCAACTGTTTCATCAATTTTATATTCAAACAAAACCACACGGTATTGGCGTGATATGTGTTTTTGTGTTTCCTTGGGGCTGGCTTCCTCGCCATTGTGCCATGGCGCAGCTGTGGACAGCCACATTTTGTCATGCTGGATGGTGGAGGCTCACTCCAGAGGGCCTTGAAATCCCAAATTGTCATGGCTCCATCGATGCCAGTAGTGCAATATTTGTGACAATCTTTCTTGTCCACCTCATAAATAGAGACTTGAGCAATGCTATTCTGGTGCAGCATCTCCAAAGCCATGTTGCAGCCCTCAGTCATGGCCCTCTTGTCCATATTGCAGAAGCATTCTATGGCAGACATGTTGCGTTGGATGCTCTGTTTTGGAATCTCTAACTTAAGAGACAAAGCTCAGGCAGCCACAGTCATCGTAGTTACAGAGCATTGGTCAGCAGTCATGGCCAGCAGCCACGACACTGTTCTCTGAGATGAATGACACACTCAGGAGCAGCTGGAACTCCGTCTTCAGATTGAGACCTGCACACTTTTTGAGGCATCAGCAACAGACACGGTGCTGTCGTGGCTGGCCCAGGCCAGGTGGCTCCCACAGGCAGAGAAGCTGACCCTGTGGACCCAGCCACCAGTGCCACTGCCACCAAACTCTGACATCAGCTGCCCAAAAGGCATCTTGCTGTCCCAGGTCATGCTGCCTGGCTTTTCATCCACTTCTTTAATGTGGGAAGAAAACACACTGTGTTTGAAGTCACATGATCCTGCTGCCAGCAAAACTTTGTTGGGATGCCAATCCAAGCTGAGGACTGTGGAGCGAATCAGCTTTTTAATGTGCTTGCTCACCCACCAGTCATTTTCAGACTCAAAGTAACAAACAGAAATGAGTTGTGCTTCACTTCCCACAGCAAATTTGTTCTCTGGAGGGGACCACTTCACAAAAGTAGCTGTGTGATTAATTCTTAGGATCATCAGGGTTGGCTTCCAGACACCATCTTGCTGACTCCAGACATAGGCATTGTGGTCTGCCCCACAAGTGACCACACGGTCGCTCTTGGGAGCCCCAGTCAGTACCTGTGATGTGTCCACTGTGCTCCTTGAGTTCATGAGCTTTCACCCACTGGTGTCCCTTCTTATAGATGTGCACTTCGTGATTATTGAGACTGAGGGCAATCTGAGTACAATCCCTGTTTCAGGCATGACAGTTGATTGGCTCTAGTAAAAACTGATGCAGTGACATTATTCTTAGTGTTTTCAAAGGAGAGAAAGCTGGGGTCGAGGCAGTCCAGACGGTCTCAGAGCAGAGGATTCGCAGACTCTGGGGAGTTGACGTGAACAGGCTCTAGTCAGTTTTAAAATACCCTCAGTTTTACTTTATTGATTCATTTTACTGGGCTATTGGATATAATTTGTAAATTAGTGATAACCATAAATAGTACAGTCAGTTCCTTCAGGAATTTAGTTGCTAGCTGAATCAACAGAACACTTGAGTCTCAACTTGTATCCTCTGTCTTTGAATCTTAAAGCAAGACTCTAACTTTTATAATAAAATTAGATTTCTGCCCTAACAGTTCTGCCAGCTGTTCCTGAGTCAACCATTTAGTTAATTCAAAACTTCGCCATTTTAACTGTCAAATTATTGTAGTCAAGTAGAGAATTCTGTAGCTATGCTTATCCTATTACGCAAATAATTTTAAATTTGGGTAATTAGGTTTGTAAATGTTTGTTTTGGTGAAAAATTTGTAATGTTAAAGATAGATATAAGGAAATATTTAAATCTAGTAATTAAAAAATGAATTTAGAAAACTGGTTTTCTCACTGAGCCATATTTTGATGGTAGTACCCTTTTTAGAAGGGTAACAATGTATTTTAAATTGAGCCTCCCAGAATTATTGTGGAATTTTGTTTGCTTTTCATAAGCAGAACAGTAGGAGTTTAAGCTTGACTGTTTGCTCAAACATATGAACAACAAAACATCATCTTAGCCCTCAAAGGATTGACTGCCTAGGGGTAAAGAGAGATACGAACACAGTTTAAGAGCACCGTAAGGTGGATTGTGATTGTACAATAATGGAAAGTGCAGAATGCTGTGGATACTGAGGAAAGAGTGTTAGATTCTAATTGAGGGAATGGAGAGATTTGGCATTTGGGCCTGGGCATCAAAGGTAAATAGAAACCCAACAAGTGGAGCTGAGACAGAAGACTTTCTAGTGTAAAGGTCCACCGACTATGGCCTGTAGGCCAAATCTGACTTGCCACCTGTTTTTGTAAATAAAATTTTATTGTAAGACATCCATGCTCATTAAGCTTATATATTTTAAATTAAGCATACATATATTTTTATATATTATTAAGCTTATATATTTTTAGTTATGTTTGCATTGGAATGGCAGAGTTGAATGGTTGGAACAGAGACCATATGGCCCACGATGCCTAAAGGAAAGGTTTGCTGATCCCTTTTCTACACCAAGGCTGAGAAGTAGAACTTTCTGCAGTGATGGAAATGTATTGTATTTACACTGCCCGGTATAATAGCCATTAGCCAGTGTGCCCATTGAAGTATGGCTAGTGCAACTAAAGAACTGAATTGTTTCATTTAATTTTAATTTAAATGTAAAATAGTGAAGTGTGTCTCGTGGCTATTTTATCAGTACAGATTTCAACTAAAGCACTGACATGAGCAAAGGCACAAAGCTAGGAGGAATGTTACTAAGGATAATTGATGAATAAGGTAAATATAAGGGTCTAGGCTGGGCATGGTGGCTCATGCCTGTAATCCCAGCACTTTGGGAGGCCGAGGCGGGTGGATCACCTGAGGTCAAGAGTTCGAAACCAGCCTGGCCAACATGGCAAAACCCTGTCACTACTAAAAATACAAAAATTAGCCCGGCGTGGTGGCACACTTCTGTAATCCCAGCTACTCAGTAGGCTGAGGCAGGAGAATCGTTTGAACCCAGGAGGTGGAGGTTGCAGTGAGCCGAGATCACACCACTACACTCCAGCCTAGATGACAGAGGGAGACCCTGCCTCAAAAACAAAAACAAACAAATATGTTAGGCTTTCAAAGAAGGTGCACTTTATTCACTGAGCTTATAGAGAACCACCAGAAGTTTCTGAGCTGGGCTCTCACAGGTATAGATAATGTGTATTAGAAAGACAGCGCTGAAAGCCTTGATGAAGATGTACTGTAAGTCTGAAGATGAATTGGGAAGAAGTACAGTGCTCCAGAGAGAACTGGGACCTGAAGCAGAGCTGTGAAAATGGGCATAGAAAGTCAGGAATATATTTGAAAGGCAGCTTTGGAGTTAGAACTAAACCATATAGTGTGTTGTCCAAGGTCACATTTTTGAGAATGAAAGGAGCATTATTAATAATTATGCCAGTATCCATAATTATGGACAAAAGTCTGTAAACTGGGACTGCTCCAGGTAAACCAGGATATATGCTGATTCTAATAGAGTAAGATCCATGGTCCTTCAGTATAAATGAGGTTAAAAAAAAAAAAAAGGTATGATACAGGCTGGGCGCGGTGACTTACGCCTGTAATCCCAGCACTTTGGGATGCCGAAATGGGTGGATCATGAGGTCAGGAGATGGAGACCATCCTGGCTAACATGGTGAAACCCTGTCTCTACTAAAAATACAAAAAATTAGCTGAGTGTGGTGGCACGTGCCTGTAGTCCCAGCTACTCGAGAGGCTGAGGCAGAAGAATTGCTTGAACCTGGGAGGTGGAGGGTTGCAGTGAGCCGAGATCGCGCCACTGCACTCCAGGCTAGGCAACAGAGTGAGACTTTGTCTCAAAAAAAAAAAAAAAAAAAAAAAAAAAGATAAGATCCAATAAGATATGGATAGAATAAAAGAAGAAGGGTCTAATTTACATAATTGAGAAGATGGCAATATTATAAGAGGATGAAGAGATTGGTTTTAGACTTGTAAAATCTGAAGTTGTTGACAACATAGTTGATTCTCTAAAATGTTACTTTAAGAAAGGACTTCTGAGATTTTGTATTTATCCTTAATGAAACAAGTGAGAATGGTTTTCTTTTGTTTTTTAGATTGGAGTCCACTGCACGCCCATCAGAGAGCTCAGAAGAATTCCTGGAAGAAGAACCCGAACAGAGAGGGATTGAATTTGAGGATGAAAGCAGTGATAAAGATGCACGGCCAGCACTGGAAACGCCACCACAGCAAGAGAAGCAAGATGGTGAAAAGGTATGAGATCACTTACTCAGTAAAATGAAAATAAGTAAACTGAATTTTACCTTTCGTAATCATATATTGTTAGAAAAGTATACTGATATATTTTAGAGTCTTAGAAATTGTGTGTAGTGTTAAAAAGCATATATATATTAAGCAAGGTCAGGTACTACAGTTGGGGAGAGGATAAAATTACAAGGATAATTTAGTTTATAAAAGTTTGCACTTACAAAAATTTGAATTATATCAAGGATAAAATAGGGATGTTTAGTAAGATCTTTCGGTGCATTTAAAATATAAGTTAATTTGTAGAATTAAACACACTTACATACACAAATGATATAAGATCTACTCATATAGAACCAGTTAAAATGCTTTCAGGTGCAATAAACCTTCAATGGCACCCCCATTTTAGTTAGAGGGCTAAGAATTACTAGTCCAGAAAAAAAAAATTTGATGACTATTGATCTCACAAATTTCTGGAAAAATAACTAAATTCATGTTTTTTAAACACTAGAAAAAAATATATAAACCCTTGGTAAATAAGTAAACTCTTCATCTGGGTTGATTTTTGCAGCTTTAAAGTATTTATCCCCAGCTTCTTTTTTCTTTATCCATTTCCATGTTTTTCTTTAATGTCTTCCATCTTTTCCTTTCCACAGATTCCCTATTTCTTCTTTCATATGTTTCTTGAAAAAATCTTTCAGCTGTTTGCCAAGTCCAGCAGGCAGGTGAACAAGTGAAACTATATATTACCGATTTTGTTTTCTTTTTCTTTTTGAGACGGAGTTTTGCTCTTTGCACCCAGGCTGGAGTGCAGTGGTGTGATCTTGGCTCACTGCAACCTCTGCTTCCTGGGTTCAAGTGATTCTCCTGCCTTAGCCTCCCAAGTAGCTGGGATTACAGGTGCCCCCCACCATGCCCAGCTAATTTTTGTATTTTTAGTAGAGACAGGGTTTCACCACTTTGGCCAGGCTGGTCTCGAACTCCTGATCTCAGGTGATCTGCCCGCCTCAGCCTCCCAAAGTGCTGGGATTACAGGCGTGAGCAACCATGCCCCACTAGTTTTGTTTTCTTAAGTTACTCTGATTTAGCTCCTGCTTCCTCTATTTCATGAAGTGACATGCTGTGTCAGCTCACTGCAGCCTCCACCTCCTGGGGTTAAGCAATTCTCCTGCCTCTGCCTCCCAAGTAGCTAGGATTACAGGTGCACCAACATGCCCGGCTAATTTGTGTGTGTGTGTGTGTGTGGTTTTTTTTTTTTTTTGAGACAGAGTCTCGCTTTGTCCCGGGCTGGAGTGCAGTGGTGCCATCTTGGCTCACTGCAAGCTCCACCTTCCAGGTTCACGCCATTCTCCTGCCTCAGCCTCCCGAGTAGGTGGGACTACAGGCGCCCACCACCACGCCCGGCTAATTTTTTGTGTTTTTAATAGAGACGGGGTTTCACCGTGTTAGCCAGGATGGTCTTGATGATCTGACCTCGTGATCTGCCGAGACAGGGTTTCACCATGTTTGCCAGGCTGGTCTTGAACTCCTGATCCACTCGTCTCAGCCTCCCAAAGTGCTGAGATTACAGGCATGAGCCACCGTACCTGGCCTCATGAAATGATATTTTTATGTTTATTTTTGTAATATTTCTTTTTCCTTTTTTTTTTTTTTTCTCTGAGACAAGAGTCTCGCTCTGTTGCCCAGGCTGGAGTGCAGTGGCACAGTCTTGGCTCACTGCAGCTGGGACTGCAGGTGCCCGCCACCACGTCCCGCTAATTTTTTGTGTTTTTAGTAGAGATGGGGTTTCACCGTGTTAGCCAAGATGGTCTCAATCTCCTGACCTCAATCTCAATCCGCCCACCTTGGCCTTCCAAAGTGCTGGGATTACAGGCGTGAGCCATCGCGCCCGGCCTATTTTAGTAATTTCGGGGAGCAGATGGGTGTTTGGTTACATCGATAAATTCATTAGTGGTGATTTCTGAGATTTTGGTGCGCCCGTCACCCAAGTAGTGTATACTATACCCAATGTGTAGTCTTTTATCCTCACCCTCCTCCTACCCTTTCCTGCAAGTCCCCAGAGTCCATTATATCACTCTTATGCCTTTGCATCCTCATAGCTTAGCTCCCACTTATGAGTGAGAACATACGATGTTTGGTTTTCCATTCCTGAGTTACTTCACTTAGAATAATGGTCTCCAACTCCATGCAGGTTGCTGTGAATGCCATTATTTCATTCATTTTTTATGACTGAGTAGTATTCCATGGTCTACATATACCACTTTTTTTTTTTTTTTTTGAGATGGACTCTTGCTCTGTTGCTGGGCTGGAGTGCAGTGGCACGCTCTCAGCTCACTGTAACCTCCGACTCCCTGGTTCAAGTGATTCTCCTGTCTCAGCCTCCCGGATAGGTGGGATTACAGGCACAAACCACCACACCCAGTTAATGTTTGTATTTGTAGTAGAGACGGGGTTTCACCATGTTGGCCAGGATGGTCTCGATCTCCTGACCTTCTGATCTGCCCACTTCAGCCTCCCAAAGTGCTGGGATTACAGGCCACCATGCCCGGCCTATATATACCACATTTTCTTTATCCACTCATTGGTTGGTGGGCATTTAGCCTGGTTCCATAGTTTTTGCAGTTGCAAATTGTGCTGCTATAAACATGCACGTGCAAGTGTCTTTTTGATATAATGACTTATTTTTTTCTGGGTAGATAGCCAGTAGTGGGCTTGCTGGATCAAATGGTAGTTCTACTTTTAGTTCTTTAAGGAATCTCCACACTGTTTTCCATAGTGGTTGTACTAGTTTAGTTCCAACCAGTTGTGTAAAAGTGTTCCCTTTTCACCATATCCATTCCAGCATCTGTTTTTTTTATTGTGGCCATACTTAGAGGAGTAAGGTGGTATCAAATTGTGGCTTTGATTTGCATTTCCTTGATAATTAGTATATTAGGGTTCTCTAGAGGGATAGAACTAATAGGATAGATGTATATAAAGGGGACTTTATTAAGGAGTATAAACTCACATGATCACAGAGTCCCATAGTAGGCCATCTGCAAGGTGAGGAACAAGGAAGCAAGGAAGCCAGTCCGAGTCCCAAAGCTAAAGAACCAGGAGTCTGATGTTTGAGGGCAGGAAGCATCCAGCTCTGGAGAAAGATGTAGACTGGGAGCCTAAGCCAGTCTAATCTCTCCATGTTCTTCTGCCTGTTTTTTATTCTGGCCATGCTGGCAGCTGATTAGATGGTGCCCACCTGGATTGACGGTGGGTTTGCCTCTCCAGTCCACTGACTCAAATGTTAATTTCTTTTGGTAACACCACCCTTACAGCCACACCCAGGATCAATACTTTGCATCCTTCAGTCCAATCAAGTTGACACTTAGTATTAACCATTACAAGTCTACCCCTTGTCAGCTTGAACCCATACACACTTCCTGAGATCATACATAGTCTTTAAATAAAGACAATAATGTAATAATTATGCCTAACACAATACAACTGTCATTCGTACAACTGGAAACCCCCAACCCAAATAATATTATGTAAAGTTAACACTTAATTGCTCATATGAAGTCAATAAATCTTATGTCACATGATGAAGGAAAAGGGAAATAAAATGAAGTTATTTTCTTATTACAAGTGTATACATGCGCAAACATGTTCCTAACCAAATAAGGAGGAAATACTCATGACAATTACAGTCATCATTTCTGCAGCTGGTCACGTGGTTGAAGCTGGTGTTGATGACTACCTTCTTCTGCTACCCATTCTGTATTCCCTTTGCCTTCAGCAAGCACTTTAGCAGGTTGTGGTTTTTTTTCCTAGTGTAGTAACGCAAACCTTCATTCCTGAAGAGTCTGGGCCATTTGTAGTCTTGCCTGGATTGGGCTGTTGTAGTTTCCTACTGACCTTAATCACAGGGCATCGTAATACTAAGAGACACCCCAAGGGATCTCCTATATTCCATGCATACTCTTCCTTAACTCCATTGTGGAGTAGTAGACTGATTTCATCTTGATAGCCTGGGTCAGTCACCGTAGCCAACACTGTAGCTCCCTCAGCCTGTTGACTTTAGGAGGAGCCCAAAGTGTCCAGGTGGCAATCTTAACTTCCAGTTTAATGGAATCATTGTTGTGTCTCCTGGTGGCAGCATTCCTCTCTCTGGAACTAATACCTCTAGGCCAGCAGAACGTAATGTTATGGGGACGGGAAGCAAAAATTTTGCTAGTGGATCACTAGGGGTGAAGGTGAGTGAGGCCATTTCCACTTTTACCCCTGGATTCCTGGACCTGTGAATCCTGTCTATAAGAGAAACAGTACCATATACTGAAATGCTGATTCAGAGCCTACACAGCCTGCTAGAGACCTTTGCCTCAGCCCTGCATAGTATTATCACCTAGTTGGTGTTGTAATTGTGATTTCAAAAGGACATTCCACTGTTCTGTCAATCCAACTGCTTCAGGATGATGGGGAACATGGTAAGAACAGTGAATTCCCTGAGCATGAGCCCGCTGCCGCACTTCTTTAGCTGTAAAGTGAGTGCCTTGTTCAGAGGCAATGCTGTGTGGAGTACCATGACGGATAAGGCATTCCGTGAGTCCATGGATGGTAGTCTTGGCAGAAGCACTGCATACAGGATAGGCAAACTCATATCCAGAGTAGGTGTCTGTTCCAGTGAGGACAAACCTCTGCTTTTTCCATGATGGAAGAGGTCCAGTATAATCAACCTGCCACCAATTAACTGTTTGATCACCCTGAGGACTGGTGTCATAAGGGTGTCGTAAGGGCTTAGTGTTGGTCTGTGCTGCCGGCAAATTGGGCACTCAGCAGTGGCCGTAGCCAGGTCAGCCTTGGTGAGTAGAAGTCCATGTTGCTGAGCCCATGTGTAACCTCCATCCCTGCCACCATGGCCACTTTGTTCATGGACCCATTGGGGTGGCTGGGAAAGGAGGCTGAGTAGTGTCCACAGAACAAGTCATCCTACCCACTTGATTATTAAAATCCTCCTCTGCTGAGGTCACCGTTTG